TTCACAAGCCCAAGTAAAGCTAGAGGTAGTCACAAAGGGCATGTGAGGAGGAGGAGGGACTGTGAGAGGAGAGGAGATGGGAGGCGATGGCGGAAGCTACAGACACACAGGAGCTGCTGGCTTAGTGGCTACCGAAGCAATGGCCCGGACTACAGGAGTAACTGGCTCCGCGGAGATTGTAGCCTCCTGACTGGAGCAACTGACCCACAGGCAACTGGCGACTACCGGAGATTGTACCCTACGGACTACTGGTGCTGCTGGCGACACGACTGCGACCTCTGCTCAACCTCCACCAACTGCCCCACGCCCCTAGCACACACCCCCTGCTACACCCCTAGCTCCACTCCCACGTCACCCCCCTAGCACCACTCCCACGTCACCCCCCTAGCACCACTCCTTCGGCTCCCACACACCCACCCCCCTGAGCGACAGCTGCAGCAGCGGGAGACGGAGGAGGAGGAGGAGGGGACGGCGCACACAACCGGCACCCCCACAGCCGCCACCCCCACACTCCCCACCCCCAAACCCTAAAACGGGTGGCACAGGGCAGGAGCGCGGGGGACGGCGAGGGGGACGGCGCGCGGCCCCTAGGGCGCCACCACGGGGCAGCAAGGGGTCGCGCGCGGCTCCCCAGGGCGCCGTGACGAGGCAGCGGGGGGGTCGCGTACGGCTCCAGGGGTGGCGCGCGGGTCCCCAGGGGCGACGCGAGGGTCGACGGGGGTGGCGTGCGGGTCCCCTGAGGCGACGCGAGGGTCGACGAGGTGGGCGCTCACGTCCAGTGGGGCCGGCGCGCCAGGAAGAAAAGGGGCCGCGCGCCAGAGAGCAAATCGCCGCGCGCCTTGCACGCCACGGGGCGTGCGACAGATCGAGTTGCAGCGGAAGGAGGTTGGTGGGCCCACAGACCAAGGAAGCACAGGCTCTGATAGCATGTCACAAGAATGAGGAAAAGTTTAGAAGCAGAAGGAGGGTTTGCACTAGCAGTAGTTGAGATACATATAGGAAACCCTAATTCGGTTGTACTCACTATAGAGTACCCCACTGCAGGCTAGACAATTACATCATTCTGACAGTCACCGACGCCTTAGATTTCGCCATCAGTTCAGTGCTGCTCCAGGAATTTGGCAACAACTTACAACCGATCGCCTACGAGTCGCGCAAGTTACAGGTAGCTGAGCGCAACGACCCGATTCACGACAAGGAGATGCTCGCCATCATCCATGCATTTAAACTGTGGTGCTGATATCTGACAGGCACCGACGTCACTGTACGAAAGGACCACAAATCGTTACAGTACCTTTGCGCGCAGCCCAACCTCAATCCGCGACAAATCCGGTGGCTTGACTACATGGAGTCACATTTCCACTACAAGATTACATACAAGAAGGGGGCAAATAACATCGCCGACGCCCTGACCCGACGAACACTCCAATCCGGTGCTATACTGATCACCCATTCGAACCCGCTTCTTTCGGGGCTATTCACCCACAGCTACAAAACGGACCCATTTTTCATGACAGATAATCACCTACAAGCGACGACACAGAGGGAAAATTATTACCTAAAAGCCGGAACGGACCGGATTTGGGTACCCGCTTACCGCCTGCTACGGGAATTGCTTATCCAGGAGGTCCACGATTCGAACCTCTCTCGACATTTCGGAGTTGACAAGACGCGGAAAATTCAGCACCATCAGTAATATTGGCCTGATTCTAACTCTTACGTGCATCGTTATGTGTCTTCATGCAGAGTGTGCCAGGCAATGAAATCGATACGTTAGCGCCCGGCCGGCCTGGTGCAACCCCTCGAGCCACCCGAGCGACCATGGCAACATGTGACAATGGATTTTGTCACGGGGCTACCAGCTGGCGCGACCGGCAACGATGCAGTACTTGTTGTCGTCGATCGCCTCACGAAAATGGCGCACTTCGCACGGTGTCACACAACAATCACAGCCGAAGAAACTGCGCGCCTCTTCATCTCGAGAGTTGTTCGCTTGCACGGCATCCCGTCCGCGATCATAATCGACAGGGATCCGAAGTTTACATCGAAATTCTGGAAAGAGAAGTGGGCGCAGTGTCAGAATGTTATCTTATGCTCTAGCCTGTAGTGGGGTGCTCTATAGCGAGTACAACCCTTCTAGGGTTTGCTATTTGTATCCTCATTCCTGCTAGTTCAACCCTCTTCTTTCTTCTAACTTTCTCATGCTATCAGAGCAGGTCGATCCCCTTGGATCGATCCTGTGGGTGGGTTACCACCTCCTCGCTTCCGCTGCAACTTTTTCTTCCCGCCGTGCGCCCCGAGGCGCGCGGCGGTTTTCTGCCCGCCGTGCGCCCCGAGGCGCACGGCGGTTCTCTGCCCGCTGTGCGCCCCGAGGCGCGCGGCGGGCTTCTGCCCCGTCGTTCGCCGCGTCGCCCTCTGGAGGCGCCGCGACGGGCGACGGGGACCCGTCGCGGCCCCGCCGCCCCACTTCGCGGCCCCGCCGCCTCACGTCGCGGCCCCGCCGCCTTACGTTGCGGCCCCGCTGCCCCATTTCGCGGCCCCGCCACCCTACGTTCGCGGCCCCGCCGCCCCACTTCGCGGCCCCGCCGCCCTTCTGTCGTGGCCCCGCCGCCCCAACTTCGCGGCCCCGCCGCCCTACACCTGCGGCCCCGCCGCCCTCCTTGCGCCCCGGCCCCCTTTTCCCATCGCCCGTCGCGGCTCCCTCGGGGGCCGGGCGAGCGCCGCCATCCCACCCTGCCTACCCGCCATCCCACCCTGCCTACCCGCCATCCCACCCTGCCTGTGTTAGGGTTTGGGGGTGGCAAGTAGGGGGTGGCGAGTATGGGGGTGGCACTTCCTCATTCCTGCCTTTGCTCCTCCTCCTCCTTCGTCTCCCACTGCTGCAGCTGTCGCTGAGGGGGGTGGATGTGTGGGAGACTGGGGTTTAGGGTTTAAGGGGGGTGCGTGGGAGTGGAGCTAGGGGTGTAGCAGCGGGTGTGTGTCGGGGGGTGGGACTGTTTGGGGAAGATGCACGGAGGTTGCCGTCGTGTCGCCAGCAGCACCTGTATTCCGGGGACTTCGTCCGGTAGCCCAGTCGTAGCGAGCTGTGCCAGCCGCCTGTGGGTCCGTTGCTCGTCTGCCGCTACTTTAGTCGCGGGGCCTGTTACTCCTGTATTCCGGGGACTTCGCCCGGTAGCCGCTGTGCCAGTCTGCCTCCTGTTGCCCGTGTGTCTACAGCTTCAGCCGTCGCCTCCTATCTCCTCTCCCCTCACTCTCTCTCCTCCTCCTCACTTGCCCGTTGTGACTACCACTTGCTTTGCTCATAATTGTGAACTCTAAACTATTGCTTCTTGAACTTGTGCTCAGAATGTGTGGTGACATTGTGACCCTGAGCTTGTACTGCTTTGCTTGCTCTGCTAATTACACCCCACTTTGGCTATGGGGGTGTGTCAGAATGTTATCTTATGCTCTAGCCTGTAGTGGGGTGCTCTATAGCGAGTACAACCCTTCTAGGGTTTGCTATTTGTATCTTCATTCCTGCTAGTTCAACCCTCTTCTTTCTTCTAATTTTGTCACGCAGTACGGCACAAGGCTACAATTCTCGTTGGCCTACCACCCGCAAACCGACGGACAGATCGGGCGCACCAATCGGACCACGGAGCAGCTCACCCACACGAACTGCCCTGACCCTGCTCGCTGGGAAGATTCGCTCCCAATGTTGGAATTTGCGTACAACAACGCCCCGTCCAGCACGACCAACCATTCCTCGTTTTTCCTCAATCACGGGATGGATCCGGTGGTACCCACAGCAACGACTCCTGAAAACCCGGTACCACGCTCGCAACACTTTGTGACGGAGGTCCAAACCATCCGCGAGAAAGCCGTCGAAGCCATTCGAAAAGCTAACACAACTGCCCGAAAATACTCAGACTTGCTACGTCGGGAAATCACCCTGGCAGCAGGGCAACTAGTGCTTATCGACACAAAGAACCTCCGTCTGCCTGACTCTTCAAAGCTTCGCCCGCGTTTCCGCGGACCTTTCGGCATTGTGAAAATGATCACACCCGTCAAGGTGAAACTAATCCTGCCCAACGATTGGCGCATCCATGACGCATTCCACATCAGCTTCCTGAAGCCGTTTGTACCAGCACAGACAGACATTGTGCGTTAGAATGCCGCCCCAACAGCTCGCCCGGTCTCGGAACCGACGCTTGACCCGTCGAAAATTCTGGCACATCATGTACGACAGTTTGTGGATCTCGCTGTATAATCACATGCCTTCTCATTGTATCGTCAATTCATTTAGTCACAAGCTTCGTTATTCGTTTTCCACGCTACTCTGTTTGACAACTCATAACATCAGGAGATCAGAATGAGTTGTTAGACTACACTATATCAGATAGAAGGTCCATCAACCAAACTGAAAACGCAAACCAAATCTTTCATGCACAGCTTTGCACTAGCACCTGCAACTTGCACATTCTGAGAGATTCCACCTCCACAGCTAAGGACTTCGACTTCCGACTCACTGAAGTGGTCGCCATTGTTTCTCCCCCCACATCCACTGGGTTAATTCCTTAACCCAGCTACAGGCTCTACTGTTTGTCCTGCATTTGAAGACACAAACTTTTTCCAGCTGCTGCTGCACCCGTCCCTCCCCACTGGTGTCTCAGCAATCCATAGCAGCATCCACCTAAGCTAAGCGCCTGTTAGATCTCCCAGACACCTCCCACCTAAGCGCCTGCTTCATCAGCCCCTGCAGCAGCTGCAGCTTCAACATTAATTCCGCCACTCCCTCTCCCACAAACGCAGTCTCAACTTCATTCAGCCCCTCCCCACTACAGCTGATGCTTCACCTTCATTCAGCAACTCGCTCTGCTACAGCTGCACTCTCAGCCTGTGGTGACCCAGCCTCTGGGAGCTCAACAGCTGCCAGCTCAGCCTCTGCTGCTGCAGGTACCCCCTCTGCTACAGCTGCAGCCTCAGCTTCATTCAGCCACTCCCTCTGCTACAGCTGCCGTCTAAGCCTGTGGCAGCCCAGCCTCTGCAAACTCAACAGCCGCCGGCTCAGCCTCTGCTGCTGCAGGTACTCCCTCCGCTACAGCTGCAGGCTCAGCCCCAGCAGCAGTTCCAGTGATATCCTCTGCTGCTACTTCTGCTGCAGCCGCAGCCTCTGCTAAAGGTGCCTCGGTTCCCGCCCCTGTCACTGCTGCTCCTGCTTCCTCTGCTTTGGTTGCCTCCGCTCCACCCTGCTCTGCTGCCTCTGCTACAGTAGCTGTTGCCTCCTCTACTACAGTTGTTGCCTCCTCTGCTGCAGCTGCTGCTTCTGCCTCCTCTGCTACAGGTGCTGTTGCTGCTTCCTCTGCTACAGCCGCTGCTGGTGCTGCCTCCTCCGCCACAGCTGTTGCTGCTGCCTCCTCTGCCGCAATCCATGGCTCATCAGTTGCCCCTGCCACTGTCCCTTCCGCTACCCCTGCTGCTACTTCTGCCTCTGCTGCCACTTGTTCTGCCTCAGCTGCTGGTTGCCCCTCTCCTTGGCCCCCTCCCCCCTCCCTAAGCCCCTGCCCTTCCCCTTCCACCTCACCGACCTTTCCTTCCCCGCCCTCTGTTCCAGTCGCCACAATCACAGCCTCATCCATCCCCATCTCCTCCATCCTTTGAGGCGCCTCAGCAGGCACCTGAACAGACACCTGATCAGGCACCTGAACTGGCACCTCAGAAGTTGTTCCAGTGGCCACGACCACAGTCGCCTCATCCATACCCATCTCCTCCATCACTGCATTCGCCACCTCAATCTGCGACGCGGTTACCTCAAATTGCGACACGGTTACGTCAATCTGTGACTCTGTTACCTCCATATGAGCAGCATCAATTTGTGACTCTGTCACCTCCATATGAGCTGCTTCATTATGTGATAATACTGTCTCATCCATATCAGTTGCCTGCTGATTACGTGACTCCATCCCCTCCATGCGTGTTGCCTCAAAAGCCATGTCTATTTGTGATGCAGTTAGTTCCATCTGTGAAGCCGTTACCTCCATCTGAGACACTGTCAGTTCCTCCTGAGGTGTTGTTTCCACCTGAGGTGCTGTTGTTTCCACCTGAGGCACTGTTGTATCCACCTGGGGTGCTGCTGCTTCCGCCTGAGGCGCTGCTGTTTCCGCCTGAGGCACAGTTGCTTCCACCTGAGGCGCTGTTGTTTCCACCTGAGCTGCTGCTATTTCTGCCTGAGGCGCTGCTGTTTCCACCTGAGGCGCTGCTGCTTCAGTCACGCCTAACGCCCCTCCCAAACCTGCCCTTGGCTCTTGAGTCTCTATTACAGCAACCACCTTCTCCCCTGCCGTATCCCCCTCTTCAATCGCCTCTTCCTCCTCCTCCATGTCCTCCTCTGGCATGTAGTTATCCTCTCCTATCACCAAGATGCTCTCCACGCCCTTCCACACCAGCACTTCTAGAAGTGAGTGCTCCGTGCCCTCATATTCCACCTGAAATAGGGGAAACACACAGCACTGTTTGTAGGTAATTCTCTACCCCCACCACCAAGATGCTCCCCACGCCCTTCCACACCAGCACTTCTAGAAGTGAGTGCTCCGTGCCCTCATATTCCACCTGAAATAGGGGAAACACGCAGCACTGTTTGTAGGTAATTCTCTACCCCCACCACCAAGATGCTCCCCACGCCCTTCCACACCAGCACTTCTAGAAGTGAGTGCTCCGTGCCCTCATATTCCACCTGAAATAGGGGAAACACGCAGCACTGTTTGTAGGTAATTCTCTACCTCCACCACCACAACTCTCCACGCCTTTACACACCAGCACTTCCAGAAGAGAGTGCTCCGTGCCCTCATATTCCACCTGATGTAGGAGAAAGCAACAAAGTGAGAGTTGATCTCTCCTCCCCCACCACCAGAATGCTCTCCACTCCACGCCCTTTCACACCAGCACTTCCAATAAAGAGAGCTCTGTGCCCTTGTATTCCACCTGCGGGCGTGTGGGGGAAAAGGAGAACATCAACAATCGATTTATACTCCTCAATCACCTCCTCCTCCTCCTCCTCCTCCTCCTCCTCCTCCTCCTCCTCCTCCTCCTCCTCCTCCTCCTCCTCCTCCTCCTCCTCCTCCTCCTCCTCCTCCTCCTCCTCCTCCTCCTCCTCCTCCTCCTCCTCCTCCTCCTCCTCCTCCTCCTCCTCCTCCTCCTCCTCCTCCTCCTCCTCCTCCTCCTCCTCCTCCTCCATGTCCTCCTGGTATGTAATTATCCTCCCCCACCACCAGAATGCTCTCCACGCCCTTCCGCACCAGCATTTCCAATAGAGAGGGCGCTGAGGCAAGACATGTCCATGCCGGTGCTTCGCTTTATTCATCCCACCTTCAGTAAGCACTCCCTCGAAGTCCTTCAGCATGCTCTTCCCCGCCACATAGTTACTCACAATGTTAGTATGTGTTGCTGATGCATGCGTGATGAGGCCACATGTGCAAACAATCTTCCTGTGCATTGTATGCACATGTGGCCTCATCACGCATGCATCAGTCACGCATGCCTGGACCGACCATGTATGCATCAATCCATTCCCCAGCCTTCACTTCACTGCATGCACGCACTGTGTATTTCGTGGTGTCTTCATCAAAAGCAGTGATCTTCCCTTCAGTCAGCACTCCCTCAAACCCCTTCAGCACGCTCTTCACCCCTGCATGCGCCCCCCCTAAAACCTAAAGCCCTCAATGCATGATCCCAAAACTTACTGTGTATTTCTTGGTATCTTCATCGAAAGCAGTGATCTTCCCTTCAGTCAGCACTCCTTCAAAATCCTTTAGCACGCTCTTCCCCACCACCTTCGCGCCCGGCCCTGGCACGACCGCTTCCGCCACACCATTACCCCTCCCCAGCGCCCCATGTGCGCCCATCATCCACCCCTCCCCTCCGCCCATCATACCACCACCACCCCAGTCGCCCTCGCCCAACCAATCAGCATCATCTCCAGGGTAACTCCCGTTTCCAGTCCCGAAATAGCCCTCGGTATACGCCCAAGCACCGCCCATCGCACTCCTCCCTCGTCCTCGCCCTCTTCCCCTCCCTCTTCCTCTTCCTCTCCCCCTCCCCCTCCCTCTCCCCCTCCCTCTTCCCCTCCCTCTCCCTCTCCCTCTCCTCCCTCCACTTCCCCATACGCCCATCTGATCATCCCAATACACTCCTCCTGGACTATAATCCTCGTCTTCCCCTCCTCTTCCTCGCCCTCTCCCTCCCCCTCTCCCTCTTCCTCCCCCTGCTGGTGCTGCTGAAGCGCCTTGATACGGCTCCACATCCACCCCTAGGTAATCCCCGTCGGCTGCCCCCCCAAAATCCCCCATATGATGAGCCCTGATACTGGAACCATCATACAGCCCAGTAGCACCCACCCCAGTAGTACCTACCCCAGTTCCCCCCTTTCCCCGCTTGCTGTGAGGCAGTATTTCCTCTTCTCCCCCACGCACCACAGATTCCGGATATAAAATTATATCTTCTCCTGCCTCTCGCACACGCTTTCCCAGTGCTTTCAGTGCAGTCTGGGGCTGCTCAGGCGTAGAAACAGCGGCAGGAACAGCAGCAGCAGCAACAGGAGGAGGAGGAACAGCAGCAGGAACGGCAGAAACTGGCTTAGCAGCAGAAGCAGGATCAGGGGCAGCAACAGACGGTTTGGCAGCAGGAGCAGGAGCAGGTGTTGCAACAGCTGCTGCAGTTGCGGCAGGAGGAGCACGAGCAGCAGCATCTGGTACAGAGGCGGGAGGAGCCGCAGCAGCAGCAGCAGCCAGATCCGCAGCAGCAGCAGCAGTGCTGTCTGGGATCTTCCGCGGTCTGCCCCTGCCCCTCGCTGCTCCGCCCCTGCCTCCTCCCCCCCTGCTTGGGGTTGCCCCCTCCGCAGCTACCTCTATGCGTTCATCCATCAACGTTGCCTTGTTGGCCTCGGACCTGGGTGGGATGTGGGGGAGGGGAGAGTGAAAGCACAGGCAATGTCAGCACGAACAGTAATGCCAGGCGGTCCCTCCACCTCCATGGCAACCTCCGTGCGTTCATTGATCAGCGTCGCCTTGTTGTTCTCGAGCTTGTTTCAAAGGCGGAGATCAGGAGGAGGGAAGGAGCGGAGAGGGGGAGGAGGGAAGGAAATGCAGAAACACCAGCAGCGCAAAAGCACCACTTGGACCCAGAGACAACAGCATGCGTTGAGTCCTGCAAGGCTACCTCAATCCGTTGATCCAGCAACATGGCTTTGTTGACTCGGACAGAGACGATAGAGCAACATGGTTCTGTTGGCTTCGGGCCCAAAAAGAGAGAGCCAAACGCAAACTCAATGTCAGCTGAGAGTAAACTAACAACATCCGGCCTCCCAATTCCCCAGCCTCCCTTCCCCCCTAATCTTCATCTGCAAGCTACACTCGTTTTCTGCAAGCTACACTCGTTTTCCCGCCCTATCCTTGTGCGCTTAACTCAACTCATTCTCCCCCTCCTTCCCCCATCACCCCCTTCAACTCTCCCCACAATAGCAGCGAACCATCATTCTACTCTAATGACAGGTGTAATTAAGCACATCGCTTTTTCCATACAGAGACAAATATTCCTAGAATTACAACGTTTTGTGAAACAGTTCTTACAGCCCGAACCCACTCACCAGGTCTCGATGTCCGCGTTAACAGCCTTTTCTTCTTCCTCCGATAACAGCAACTGCTCCAGCTCAGACACCTCCAGATCCTCTGCATCACCGTCCTCATATCGAACCTGCCAGAACCGCGAACACGGACACAGAGAGCCACGCAAACCCCTCATTTAGTGACTCTCCAGCTTTGCATCTTCCGGTAAAAGAACGTGACGGACAAAATCGCACGCGAACCGTGCAAACACGAGCGACCTTAAGACGACAGGTGTGGGATAATATGTGATTTTGATACCTAAAAGCAGTACAAATAAAACTCTCACCTTGTACCAATTCTCGTCGCGGTCGTAATGAAACACTCTCCCAAGGTACGGCACGCCGCCGAAGCTCTTCCGAACGAGACGGCCCAATAACACAGCACCAGCAGGAGGAGGAGCATCCTTATTCCCTTGTATCATCGAAGCACCACCTCCGGCAAGCGACGCACAACCTCCAGCAACCGGCGCACTGCTATCTACATCCATGATATCCACGTCCCCTTCTTCCCCATCCTTTTCGCCCTCCCCGTCATCCACGCCCTGTGTAGCGGCTGGTGGGACAGATGTAGCGGCCGGTTCGACAGTTGCAGCGGATGGTTCAATGTCTACAGCCCATGGATCGTCAGCGACTGCAGCGTCGACCTCAGCCTGAGGCTCAATATCACCCGCCTTATCGGGGTTTAAGTTGTCGTCAGCTTTATCCGCAACAGCAGCCGCATCGGTCTTTGGCGGGGCATCCGCTTTAACAGCAGCCGTATCGGTGTTATTTCCGGCATCGGTCTTCTCTCCGGTACTAACCGCGTCTTGCTCTACTAGGCCAGCTAGAGTACTAGCATCGACCTTAGCATCACCGCCAGACTTAGTTTCATTGCCAGCACCAGAGTTAGTTTCGCCGCCAACTGCAACTTCAGATTCGGTTTTAGCGTCTGGCTCAACCATTTTCGCGGGAACAGTTGTAGCGTCAGTCCCTGCTACAGTTATTGCTGCAGCAGCTGCTGCAGTCGTGGCTTCAGGAGGAGCATCAGTGACAGAGGGAACTGCTTCAGGAACAGGCGCAAACATGGAAGCGTTTTGCTGCTGCGTCGATGCGTTCACAAGCGGGCTTTCCGCAACTGATGGGGGTTCGGAAATACCTATAGTGCTGTTGTCCATTGCGACTAGACTGTAGGTATTATCTAGGCACCAATACGAAATTAGCGGTGGTGGTTCAACTCACTACACCACAGAAAATCCTAATGTTCGACAGGACTTGCGATGTGGACTTCGCTATGGCTGCTTCGTGCTGACGAAGCCGCGCTCCCGTTAACGATCCCGTCCCGTCCCGTGACCACGCGTAGTTATGCCTTCAACAGAAGCTGGGAACGCAAACAACTCCTTCGTTCGGTACAGTAATCACGAAGTGCTTGCTGGGCTCGGGGCGCACAAGCAAGTAGGGTGGTGAACGAAGGAACAATCGAGGAGGGCTCGAGAAAAAGGCCTGATGATTGGGAAATGCTTAGAATAGGGATCGTCACTATCGACGAATCAGCGTGTAGAACGGAAGTTTTCAACGCCTTGGATCTCGAACAATCCTCTGCTTGTTTCAAATATTCGAACTGCACAGCAGCTGACGTTAGTGTAAGGATTTACATAATCCTTACTGGGGCACTCGTTAGCGAGGTCATCCCGAGGGTCACGCGACGAACCTGCCCTTCCTATTTCGTCGCACCGAACCACTCCCGAGTCGCCTCCGCACCAAACGCAACCATCACCGAGCCATCCTCGCCCAACCTCTCCGCCTAGCTAGGACTTCTCCTATTTAGTCGTGCTTTTCTCATTGTATTAGGCAGAAGTTGAATTCAGTAATCAGTTCATTCTCGTTATTCGATATTCTGCGCACTCTGCAAGTTCATTCATAACAGTTAGGTTGCGAGCTTTAGGCTGAGGTAACAGTGAAGAGAAACACCAAATTGTAGTTGACATCAACATATTATCATTTTTTAACTAATCATAGACTCAAATCTCCACCCGATAAAATGAACAAAACCAACCCAAAAGAGTAGCCTCGTAAAAAATGATACCTCCCGACACGTCCCATAAAATCTCCCCGAAAATGACCCTCAAGCGCCCCTCAAACCGGAGGAGACACCAAATACTAAGCCTCCACCCACAGGACTTCCCCACTTCCTCAGTGTCCTCCCTCTCCCTAATCACCATGTCAATGTCATCTCCTCCCGTAGACGAAGCAGGATGACCTAAGCCTGATGTCAGAAACGGAAATGATGTGTGTAATACATTAAGTTGGGGTACATAAACCTAACCCTAACAATTGTACCCCACATGACAAGCCTCACTACAGGCTACAACATCTGACAGACCCATACAGACTAAGTGAGGGGTGTTATGCAACAACCAAACTGTACGGTCTCAAGACCAGTCACAAAGCCTAGGGTGGATCACAACGTCACCACATAGTCCGAACACAAGCAAGAGGCCACAAGGACACTCCAAGAGTTCACGGAGGTATATTAAAGAGTACAAACGAAGCAAGCAGACAACATAAGTCTACACAAGTTGAAACCTAATTGCACACAAAATCTGTGGTGGTCACAAGGCGGAAGGGCCTTGGTGAAGATGTCTACAGTGTTGGCCTCGGAGCCCACGAAGTCCAAACGAGCATGTCCACGCCTCTTTAACTCTCGAAAAATAAAGTACCTGACGCTGATGTGCTTCATTCTGCTCTCCAATCGAGGCTCTCGAGACAGGAGAATCAACACCTTGTTGTCTGTAAACAAGGTCGGTGCAGAGCTCGGCCGCTCACCAAGGTCAGTGAGCAAGAAGGTCAACCAACGCAACTCCTGTGCAGCCATGGCTCCAGCGTAAACCTCGGCCTCAGCAGTAGAGGTCGAGACAAAGGAGGAACGAGTAGACCTCCATGACATAGCTTCAGAGCCTAAACTGAAACAGTACCCCTGCGTGGACCTGTAAGTCTCGGCGTCGACGACGTAAGAGGAGTCACAGTGGCCAGTGAGCACGACAGGCTATCTCCCTCCAAGCACCAGCCCCCCGCCTGATGTCGTCGCTAGGTACTTTGCCACCCTCACAGCAGCTGTCCTGTGAATAGGGCGGTGTCTCTCTAGCGCAACAAAACGGTCAAGGATGCTGAGAGGGAAGGTGAGGTCCGAGCGAGTACAAGCCATCAAGTACATGAGGAAGCCCACAAGCTCTGGGTAACGACCACTAGGCTCAAACGGCTTATCAGGGAAGGTTCCAGCGAGTCTGTGGTCAACAACAAGAGGAGTAGGCTGTGTAGTGAGAACTGAAACCCGAACCGTTGAAGGACCTGCTGCACCATGTGTGACTAGGTCAAAGTGATGGTGCGAGATGCTATGTCACTGGTGATCTGCAGGCCAAGGTAGTGGCGCAGCTCACCAAGGTCAGTGCACGTGTGTCTCTTCTACAGTTCAGACTTCACGTCCGCCAAAACAACCGTGTCAGTAGTGGCGAATACCTGGTCGTCGACAAAGACCAGTACAAAGAAAGGTGTGGAGGCCTGACGAACAGACACCAACGGGTCGGCAGAAGACGGTCGGAAACTGAGGTCAGACAGGGTAGAGCGAAGAGTGTCGTGCCACTCATGAGGCGCGTAACGTGTTAAGAATGAGGAATGAAGAAGAGAGGTGTTGCACTAGTAGCAAATGGCATACATATAGGAAACACTAATTGGGTTGTACTCGCTATAGAGTACCCCACTGCAGGCTAGACAGTTGTAACATTCTGACACACCCTTATAGCCAAAGTGGGGTGTAATCAGCACAATGAGCAAGAAGGCATAGAGCAGGAGTTCACAATAGGGAGCAAAGCTAGAGTTAATCACAACGGGAAAGTGAGGAGGAGGAGGAACTGTGGAGGGAGAGAAGATGGGAGGCAACGTCTGAAGCTGCAGAGGCACGGGCACAAGAGCGGCTGACTCAGTGGCTACCGAAGCAAGGGCGACGGACTACTGGAGTAACTGGCTCCGCGGCTATAGACGAGCGACAGGAGCAACGGACCCACTGGCGACTGGTGCAACAGGCTCTCTAGCTACCGAAGCAAGGACGACGGACTACAAGCACTGCAGGCGACACGACAGCTACCTTCACACAACCTCCTCCAGCTGCCCCACACCCCTCGACACACACCCCCTGCTCAAACCCTAGTTCCACTCCCACAGCACCCCCCTTTCACACACCCCCTGCTGCACCCTAGGTTCACTCACATCCCACCCCCTAGCACCACTCCGTCGACTCCCACACACCCACCCCCCTCAGCGGCACCTGCAGCAGTGGGAGACAGAGGAGGAGGAGGAGGAGGAGGGGAGACCACACACCTACCACCCCCTACTCGCCACCCCCAAACCCTAACACAGGGCAGGGCGGGATGGCGGGTAGGGAGGTTACGAGGGGGGGGGGGGGAAAGGGGGGGCTGACGCGCGGCCTCCTAGGGCGCCAAAGCAGGCGGCAGAAGGGGCGACACTCGCCCCCCCCCCCCCCCCCCCCAGGTCGCGACCCCCTCAGGTCGCCTCGACACGCGACGGGAAAAGAGGGGGGGGGGCGGTGCACGTGCCCCCGGTGCGCCGCGATAGGCGACGGAGCATGGCCGGGGCGGGGCCAGGGCAGGGTCGAGGCAGGGCCGAAAGGGGCGGCGACGGGGCCGCAAGTGGCTGCGACGGGGCCGCTCGAGGCGGCGACGAGGCCGCAAGTGGCGGCGACGGGGCCGATAGGGGCGGCGACGGGGCCGCGAAGGGGCCGCGAGGGGCCTAGAAGGGCGGCGACGGGCCGCTAGGGGCGGCGACGGGGCCGCGAAGGGGCGGCGACGAGGCCGCTGGAGGCGGCGACGGGGCCGATAGGGGCGGCGACGGGGCCGCGAAGGGGCCGCCAGGGGCCTAGAAGGGCGGCGACGGGCCGCTAGGGGCGGCGACGGGGCCGCGAAGGGGCGGCGACGAGGCCGCTGGAGGCGGCGACGGGGCCGATAGGGGCAGCGACGGGGCCGCGAAGGGGCCGCGAGGGGCCTGGAAGGGCGGCGACGGGCCGCTAGGGGCGGCGACGGGGCAGCGAAGGTGCGGCGACGAGGCCGCTGGAGGCGGCGACGGGGCCGATAGGGGCAGCGACGGGGCCGCGAAGGGGTCGCGAGGGGCCTGGAAGGGCGGCGACGAGCTGGTAGGGGTGGCGACGGGGCCGCGAAGGGGCGGCAACGAGGCCGCTGGAGGCGGTGACGCGGCCGATAGGGGCAGCGACGGGGCCGCGAGGGGCCTGGAAGGGCGGCGACGGGCCGCTAGGGGCGGCGACGGGGCCGCGAAGGGGCGGCAACGAGGCAGCTGGAGGCGGCAGCGGGGCTGATAGGGGCAGCGACGGGGCCCGCGAAGGGGCCGCGAGGGGCCTGGAAGGGCGGCGACGGGCCGCTAGGGGCGGCGACGGGGCCGCGAAGGGGCGGCGACGGGGCCGCGAAGGGGCCGCGAGGGGCCGAGAAGGGCGGCGACGGGGCCGCAAGGGGTGGCGACGGGGCCGCTAAGGGTCGCGCGAGGGGCACGCCACGGGGCGTGCAGAAGACAGAGTAGCAGCGAAAGCAATTAGGTGGGCCCACAGGCCAGGAGCGTAGATGCTCTGATAGCATGTTAAGAATGAGGAATGAAGAAGAGAGGTGTTGCACTAGCAGCAGTTGGCATACATATAGGAAACCCTAATTGGGTTATACTCGCTATAAAGTACCCCACTACAGGCTAGACAATTATAACATTCTGACATAACAGAGAATGTAGACCGGTCGTCTAAGCCTCCATTGGATCCCAGGAGGGAAAGTGCCAGTAATGGCAGAGGGACGACGCAGCCAGACCTCCTCGTGTAGGCTACTCTGAAATAAGACGTTGGAGAAGTCGAGAAAGTGTAACTCGTAGTCTCTCTGTGCTGCCACGTGAAGTAACACCTGAAGAGTGGTCATCTTCGAGGTAGGTGCAAAGGTCTGAAAGAAGTCAACTCCCTCGCGCTGACTCAAACCTCTAGCGACATAACACGCCTTGAAGACCGGAGGAGATCCCGGTGGCCACT